CCCGGCCCCCCTCACACAGGGGAGAGGTTATAACCCATCCCCCCCCCCCCCTCACACACCCCAGCGTTCCCTGTACCCCCCCCCAGCCTCACCTCACACAGGGGAGAGGGTATAACACATCCCCCACCTCCCCTCACACACCTGTGTTCCCTGCCCCCGCCTCCCCCCAGCCCCACCTTACACAGGGGAGAGATTATAACTCATCTCCTTTCAGACACCTCAGCGTCCCTGTGCCCCAACCAGCACCCACCTTACACAGGGGAGAGGTTATAACCCATCCCCCACCTACCCTCACAAACCCTAGAGCTCTCTGTGCCCCTCCCAACCCCACCTTACACAGGGGAGAGGTTATAACCCATCCCCCATCTTTTTTCAGACACCCCAGCATTCCCTGTACCCCACCCAGCCCCACCTTACACAGGGGAGAGATTATAACCCATCTCCTCACAGACACCCTGTGCCCCAACCAGAACCCACCTTACACAGGGGAGAGGTTATGAAAACCAATCTTGCCAATCCCAAACAGGTTCTCCCAGTCCCAAAGGACCAGCCACAGTCCTAGGGCAATTTACACCTCTGTTCTTACCCAAAAGAGCCCGCTGGGCCCGTCCTTCAGAATCTTGCCCATGTGGAGGGACCGTCCGTGCTCGTGGGAATGTCCCTCCCACAGTAGAGTTCGTCACATGAGCAAGTCACCATGAGGTACCTGCTCGCTTGCAAGATTCCTCCACTGTACTCTGGCAGCACTTCAACCCCATTGGCAGAGCCGCCCTTGCGTAGGTGGGCGATGCCTGTTGCTGTGTCCAGGGGCGAACCCTTGAACACCAGCACAGAGCCAATACTCCCCACTTCAAACAAGGGTCAGCAGGCACGTGACTGGCACAAACACTCAGCGAAGCACAGGCTCGCGCTAGACCCGCAATTGGGGGTTCACGCAGCAGTGGGTGCGATCAAGCTCTGCCTGTCAGTAAAATGCATTGTCACGCCCCAGTGCAGAACCGACGCGGGCAGGGATGCCAGGAACATCGCCGAGCACGTCCCAGGGCCTTCCTGTGTTACCGCGGGTTCTAATCTAACGGCTCAGGGAACCAGCTTCACCATTGTAAGGGTCACTGTGGAACAGAACGGCCAGGCTGGGTCAGAGCAAAGGTCCATCCAGCCAATGTCCCGTCTGCCGACACTGGCCAATGCCACAGCCCCAGAGCGAGGGAACAGGAGGGAATCATCCTGTGATCCCTCCCGTCACCCACCTCCAGAGAAACAGAGGCTAGGGACACCATTCCTACCCAGCCTGGCTAACAGCCATGATGGACCTAACCGCCATGAATCTATCTAGCTCTTTTTTGAACCCTGTTAAAGTCCTGGCCTTCACCACATCCTCTGGCGAGGAGTTCCACAGGTTGACTGTGCCCTGCATGAAGAAAAACTTCCTTTGGTTTGTTTTAAACCTGCTGCCTATTCATTTCATTGGGTGACCCCTAGTTCTTATATTGTGGGAATAAGTACATTCCTCTTCCTTATTCACTTTTCCCACACCAGTCATGATTTTATAGACCTCTAGCATCCCTCCTCAGTCTTGTCTTTTCTAGGCTGAAAAGTCCCAGTCTTTTTAATCTCTCTTCATATGGGACCTGTTCAACCCCCTCGTCATTTTGTTGCCCTTCTCTGAACCTTTTCCAATGCCAAGAGATCTTTTTTGAGATGAGCTGACCATATCTGTACACAGTATTGAAGATGTGGGCGTCCCATGGATTTCTCTAGAGGCAATAAGATATTCTCTGTCTTATTCGCTCTCTTTTTTAAAGACTCCCAACATTCTATTTGCTTTTCCAAGGGCTGCTGCACATGGAGGGGACGTTTTCAGAGAACTATTCACAGTGACGCCAAGATCTCTCTCTTGAGTAGTTGGAGCTAAATTCATCCCCATCACATTGTATGTCTAGTTGGGATGACTTTTTCCAATGTGCATCACTTTACATGAACCCACATTCAATGTCATTTGCCATTTTGTTGCCAATCACTTAGTTTGGTGAGATCTTTTTGAAGCTGTTCACAGTCTGCTTTGGAATCGCCACCACCACTAAACTCTTACAAATCCAAGGTACAACTTGGTTCTAAAAATACTGGATTGGGTCTGCTTTTGCAGCCTGATTGCTATATGTCTTAGGTGAGCTTGCTAAGAGTGACAGAAAATAGTTAATGTAGCCATACAAGCTCTGGCAAATGTTTGGAATCCAATTAACATCCAAGTTCCTGTAGATATTCGAGTTCTTCGTAGGGTAGGAGTCTTGGCATTTAGCCACGAAAACAAGATGGTTGAGTGCCTCGGTTTCCCTTTTCATACAGCACCTTGTTTCTGGATGTCCTGTCTCATGTGAGAAGTTCCAGGGTCACAAGGCCTTTTAATGTGCAGGGTGGCCTTATGCACCACTCGTAACGTGTTCCAGGGGCTTTCCAAAACCCCACGCGCATGTTTACAGATCTTGGTACCAGCTGTGCTGCTGCTGCCAAAGGAGGATCAGCAATAAGCGCAAAGCCATTGTAAGTGGACCTTGTCATGCCCCGCCTTCGGCTCAACACCTCTGGGGTCTGGCTTCATCCAGGGCTTTGCTTTGCCAAAGCAAGTTTCTCTCTCCCCTTGGCCTGTGGGCTCAAAGCCTGATGCTCCGTGCTCGACAGTCACTGGGCTGTGCTCAATGGCCAGAGTCTCTCCCCCAGGCACTAGTATTGCTGAGCTCCTAAGGAGCCTAAGAGACCCTCTCCAGGGAAAGGCGGTGTGCTGTGTTTATTAGGACAGGGCGAAAAGCAACACACACGTCCTGCAGCTGGTGCAGAGTTACTGTGTCATGGCTCAAGTCAGGCTGACTGGCCAAGCGTGAGCATGAGGAGGAGTCAGGGCTTCTCGATTAGAATTCGAGGCTCCTCCGCGGGGGAGAAACGGGCCACCAGGTCGACCCTTGGGCTCTGTCCAGACAGGGGCCCCCCGCTTTCGCTGCTGAGGGCGTAAGTGGCCACCAGGTCATGCAGAGTACTCTGAGGTGAGGTGGCTAACCCCTCCCGAACGCTAACCCAAATCCTAACCAGTAATCACCTAACCCTAACCCCAAGGCCTTAACCCCCCCCCGACCCCAGCTTCCTCCATCCCCCATGGCAACAGGTGAACCCAGGTGCTCGGGGAGAGAGAGGTGGCAGCTGGGCCCTTTTCTCCCATCCCCACCTCCCGGGGATCCATCCATTGTCACTGGCAGCGGCCACCAAGTCAACCCCGGTCTTGGGAGAGGAGGCCGGGCCCTCCTCTGGTTTTACATTTATCAACATTCAATGTCATTTGCCATTTTTTGTTGCCCAATCCCTTAGTTTGGCGAGATCTTTTCGAAGCTCTTCCCAGGCTGCTTCGGTCTGAGCTCTCTTGAGCAGTTCGGTGTCGTCTGCAGATGTTGCCACGTCCCTGTTTCTCCAGATTGTTTATAAATAGGTTGAATAGGACGGGTTCTTGGGGGACTCCACTAGTTACCTCTGTCCCCTCGGAAAACTGCCCATTTATTCCTGCCCTTTGTTCCCTGTCTTTTAACCGGTTACCAGTCCACGAGAGCCCTTCCCTCTTGGCCCATGACAATTGACTTTGTGTAAGAGCCTTTGGGGAGGGACCTTGTCAAAGAGGGATGCTAAACCTGTCTCACTTGCTCAGCCCTGCTACAGCCGAGGGGTGCGTACTGTGGGCAAAGGCACTTCCCCTGCCGCGCGATGGTGGGAAAAGAAGTCTAAGTCTCCTCCCTGTTTCCTGGCAGCTCTACAACCAGGGCTGTGCACGCCTGAGTGATCAATCAGCTTATACACAGACCAGTTCTAGTGCGTGCTTGTAGCAAAATGGCACGTGCCTTCTTCCTGTGGTGTGTCTCCACCACCAGCTCCACTTGGAAGAAGCACCCGGGCTCCTTTCCGGGGCAGCGGCCGTGTTCCCCCAGAATAAGGAATGAAAAGTAGCATGTGCAGGCGCATGCAGCCTTGTCCAGTCATGAAGGGGGCTGGCAGAGTCCCATGGCCGCATGAAGAATGTATAAGCCGATGGCCATGTAGGACTTGGGACACTTCCTGTCCTGGGCCAGCACTAAACTACCTTTTTGGCTACAGTATTCACACACTTGTTTTTTCCTCAGCTTTCAGATTAACTGGCCATTTCCAAAGCTGGGCTCTGCCTCAGAGCCAGGGTCTGCTGGAGCTAGATTCCCAGTGCCTAGAGATGGGAATGGACCTGCCAGCTCCGGCACGGCTGCTTGCTCTGAACGGAGCTGCCCCTGGGCCAGCACACACCCAAACAGGCACTAGGCATCCCAGGGCTGTTCCACTTGTCGGTTTCCGCTTCATCTAACCCAAGCCACCTGCGACCCCACGTGGCGCGTTCCAAACCCAGGGCGGTGGAGCCCGTTTGAACAGGAAGATGTTGGCTGTTAAGAACTGGAACAAGTTCCTGCCTCTTCCAGGCCGCCCTCTGTCTGGTTCCCCTCACTCAGACCCCGTGTCCCTTCAGCCCCATCAACCTACTTGCACAACCTGCCCCGCAGCTTCCTTCAGCAACAATTAACTTCCCTGGAGGGGCCGGGCCCTGCCCCAACCCACAGCCAGGGGGAGCGCGGGGGAGTCCCTGGCTCCCCAGGACCCAGCCCAGGAACCAGGAGCAGCCTGGCTTGTGGGGAGGGGCCCAGAGCCAGGCCCTCCCCGCCAGCACCCTAAGCCAGCAAGACTAGCCCACAAGCTCGGCAGCCGGCCCCCTCCCTGCAGCCTTTGTCAAGCTTCTGGGGCAAAAAGTGTGGCCTGGTGCCCTACCTCCTGCCAGGCTCAAGTTGCAGAAAGCAGCAGCCAGTGCCTCTGTGAAGAGACTGAAATTCCCACCCCCAGCGTGGTCCTGGAGCCATGCCCAGGGAAACTGAGGCACACCTGGGTTCCCACAGGCCGGTAGACTTCACCTGCCACATAACAAAGGGAACAAAGTCAATTCGATCCCCCTGCCTCACACCTGGCCCTACAGGAGCCTTGCTCTGCTGAGCCACCCCTAATTCCTCCTGAGTTTCCCTCCCACCCAAAGCCCTCTGGCCCCTATGTACAAGGTCAGAGAGCCTCTCCTGGGCTGCTTTCCGCATTGGCAGCATGAAAGTTCCCTGGCTCAGCACACACGGGTAGGAAGAGTTTCCTCCTCAGTGTCAGCCAGCACCCTCCCAGCAGCGGGCACCCTCCCAGCAGCGGGCACCCTCCCAGCAGCGGGCACCCTCCCAGCAGCGGGCACCCTCCCAGCAGCGGGCACCCTCCCAGCAGCGGGCACCCTCCCAGCAGCGGGCACCCTCCCAGCAGCGGGCACCCTCCCAGCAGCGGGCACCCTCCCAGCCAGCCTCAGGGCTGCTGCTGCGCTGGGACTGGCTGCTGGGGGAAGTGGGACCCTTCGGGTGGAGGGGGAGAGATGTACTGGCTGGGCTGGTGTGAGGACGGGGCACTGGGATCCTTCCCCAACTCCAGGTACTGGATCTGCTGGAGCCATCTCAGCAGGACCTGCCCATCAGGGAGGACCGAGCCCGGAACATCCTCATCCCGGGGCGAGCAACGCCATCAACCCCTCCCTGCTCACGCTCAGCAAGGTGGTGGACGCCCTGGACCAGGGGCTGCCCCGGGTGCCTTACCGTGACAGCAAGCTCACCCGCCTGCTGCAGGTGCGCCGGGGGGAGGGGCGGGCTCTTTCCTGCAATGGCGCAGCCTGGGACAGGAGGCCTGGAGCAGAGCGCAAGGGGGAGAAACCCCAAGTGTGGGGGAAGGGCCGGGCTCCCGGGTTCCCTCTTGGCTCTGGGAGGGAGGCCGGGTGCTGGACTCTGGGATCTCTCACCGTGACAGCAAGCTCACCCGCCTGCTGCAGGTGCGCCGGGGGGAGGGGCGGGCTCTTTCCTGCAATGGCGCAGCCTGGGACAGGAGGCCTGGAGCAGAGCGCAAGGGGGAGAAACCCCAAGTGTGGGGGAAGGGCCGGGCTCCCGGGTTCCCTCTTGGCTCTGGGAGGGAGGCCGGGTGCTGGACTCTGGGATCTCTCTCCCCAGGACTCCCTGGGGGGCTCTGCCCACAGCGTGATCATCGCCAACGTGGCCCCGGAGCAGCACTTCTATTTCGACACGCTCCGCACGCTGAACTTCGCCGCCAAGTCCAAGCAGGTGGTGAACCGGCCCTTCACCCAGGAGAGCCTGCCAGGCCCAGGTAAGACTGGCTCAGGCTGCTCTGTGGCCAGCCTGGCTTGGCGCTCTCTTCCCGCAGGGACACGCAAGAGGCCTCTGGAGGAGCCTGCAGCTGGTGGGGAGGGGGCGAGCCCTGAAGCCAAGAAACGTCTCGAGGAGCAGCCCCCTGAGGCTGAGCCGCTGAGGTGAGGGGCAGGGAGGCCTGGGGGAGGGGCTGCAAGAGGGCTGGGTTGGGCACTCAGGCTAACAGTCTCTTCCCCGCTCCCCAGCTCCCTTCTGCCCCTGGAGCAGCTGGACCCTGCACTGGTGCAGCG